CTTCTTTAGATTCAGATTAGGTGTTTTTAGTAGTGTTTTATGAGGGATGCTGTATACTCAGCAGTCCTTCACTTCAGTAGGCACATAGTGTGACCCTTAAAGTTGTCAAATCCCAGCACTTGGCTCTGGTGCTAACAGCCAGATGTTCCTGTTACCTTGTATCATCGGTAAGTAATCTGAGGAGGTTCACTGGTACCTTGTGAATATTCTGTTTCTTGTCACCTTTCACCTAATGGTCTTAGCATCCCTAAATCATCATTTCATCAGAGATGTCAAAGATAATTTTCATATGCTGTGATTCCTTTCACACGTATTAGTGGCATTCTATAAAGAAACACTTTTCATTATCAATAAGAGAACATAATTCTTCTAAAAAAGCAGGGTAAATGTTTTCATTCTGTCGTTTAATCACCAATTTGAAAGGAAGATAATCACCTGTAGTTGTGGAAATTAGTGTTTTTCTTTCACTTCTCTGCTTCTCTCCCTCCATCCTTGACCTGCATATCCCTGTGTGCCAACAGACTATTCAGTGAGTTAGTTGTGGTTACAGTCATGGTATTTGCTGCTGTTCACTTTATCTCAGATAGGGCCAGTGGAAACTCCTGCCGGCTGGTTCCTGCGTCATTTTCTTACGTGTGTATTAATGATTAAGAACCAAAATCCAGGCTGGGTGCAGTGGCTCACACCTGTAATCCCAGCACTTTGGGAGGCTGAAGTGGGTGGATCTCTTGAGCCTAGGAATTTAAGACCAATTTAGGTAACATTGGTGAAACCCCATCTCTACAAGAAATAGAGAGAAAAAAAAAAGGGAGACATAAGCCAGGTGTGGTGCCACACCTGTGGTCCCATCTACCCAGGAGGCTGAGGTGGGAGGATTGCTTCAGCCTGGGAGGCAGAGGTTGCAGTGAGCAGAGATCGTACCACTGCACACCAGCTTGAGTACAGAGCAAGACTGTCTCAAAAGAAATAATTTACATCAGTGTAGTGTGGATGGGGACAAATTTTTTCAAAAAAAGAACCCAACTCCATGTTCTTAGGTGCTCAGTTCAGTTGGAGTGTCATTAATTCTATGGCCACTTGAGACATATAGAGTTAGGAAACAGCACATTTTAAATCACAAGCTTGGAGTGCTATTTCTTACTCATATTTAACATTACAGAGTTTTCTCTTTGATTTAATATTTATAGCTCATTTTTCTTAATATTAGAAATCTTGGTTCTTAACAGTATATTTATTTGTTAAAATAGTTTTATAGTATCAAAATTATCACTACTGGGGGAGCAGAGGGCTCACAGCTGTAATTCCAGTGCTTCAGGAAGCTAAGGCAGGAGGATGGCTCCATGCCAGAAATTTGAGAGTAGCCTGGGCAACACAGTGAGACATTATCTCTACAAAAAATAAAAACAGGAGCATGGAGCCAGGTCTGGTGGTATGCACCTGTAGTCCCAGCCACTCTGGTGGCTGAGACAGGAGGTTCTCTTCAATTTAGGAGTTCTAGGATCTGGTGAGCTATGATTATGCCACTGTACTCCAGCCTAGGTGACAGAGTGAGACCCTGTCTCAAAAAAATATAAAAATCATCACTTTAGTTTGTATTCTTTGCTGTTCTCTTGTCCTTAGAATATACCTCACTAGAAAGATACCGTCCTTACTGTGTGCAAAAGTGAAATATAACTTTTTACTGTGGTTATTTTACCACTTTGGTTATTTGTTTTCCATTTATTTTTATTCAGTTTATTTTCAGTTTATTCAATTTTTAAATGGCTTTTTTGCCTTTATATAGTATATAGAGAAATTAGAACCCCTTTGCCTGGTTGGTGGGAATGTGAAATGGTGTAGCCACTATGGAAAACAGTGTGGCAGTTCCTCAAACGTTAAATACAGAGTTAGCATATGATCTGCAGTTCCACTTCTGGGTATGTACCCAAAAGAATTAAAAGCAGGGACACAAACAGACACTTGCACACCCATGTTCACAGCAGCATTTTCCACCACAGACAAAAGGGGGAAGCAGCCCAAATGTTTATTGACAGATGAATAGATAAGCAAAGTGTGAGATATCTCTATAACAGAATACTATTCTTAACCTCATAAAGGAAGGAAATTCTGGCTTATGGTGCAAAATGGATGAACCCGAGGACTTTATGCTAAGTAAAAGAAGCCAGATGCAGTCAGGCATGGTGGCTCACACCTGTAATCCCACCACTTTGGGAGGGAGGCAGATGGATTACCTGAGGTCAGGAGTTTGAGACCAGCATGGCCAACATGGTGAAACCCTGTCTCTACTAAAAATACAAAATTTAGCTGGGTGTGGTGGCGTGCACCTGTACCCCCAGCTACTTGGGAGGCTGAGGCAGGAGAATTGCTTCAACCTGGGAGGTGGAGGTTCCAGTGAGCTGAGATCGTGCCATTGCACTCCAGCTTGGGCAATAGAGTAAGACTCTATCTCAAAGAAAAAAAAAGCCAGATGCAAAAAGACAAATACTATTATTTCACTCATAGGAGTTACTAGTCAAGTTCACAGAAAGTAGAATGGGGAGGTACAGGGGATGAATTGTGCGGTTAATGTTTAATGGGAACAGTCTCAGTTTGGAAGATAGAAAAGTTCTGAGGATGGATGGTGGTAATGATTACACAACACTGTGAATATATTTAATGCTGCTGAACTGTACACTTAGAAATGGTTAAGATGGTAAATTTCATGTATATTTTACCACAATAAAAAAATGAAAAATTCCCTGTTGTATGCTTCAAAATCTAAATTGAGTAAAAAGACATTTAGCGATGTCACGCTTTCATCCCTGTGTCCCCTTCATCCTATTTCTTGATTCCAGTATTTCTTACAAAACTAAGTAAATCTTGGTGTAGTCTTAATTTTTTCTACTTTCTTACATTGAAGGTAGCTATGTAGCAGTGAATTTTCTGAGAATAAGACAAGTTTTATTTTTATTTTATAAGGAAGGCAGCTGAACAGATGGGAAGTTTACATATAGCATTTAAATTTAAATGTCAGTGCTGTGTGCCTAGAACTTGATCAAGTGCAGGTCCCTCGTAACTAACTCTCCTAGCATTGTACTTCAGTTATCTCTGTAGCACTCATTGTATTAATACATTTGATTTAGGCATCTGCCAGTTTTTGGATGGTCAGGAGATGGAGTTTCCACCTCCTAACCTTAGCTTTGCAAACATCACTTGGGGATAGCTTATTTTTTGAGACCCGCTGCATCTTGCTTTTACTGACATGCAAGAGGAGCTGAAGTCCAAGCAGTTTCTGGCTGCTAAAGGCAGCCAGATTAGCCTTAAACACGCAAGTAGTAGGATGTCTCAGTCTCACTCAGTCTCTCTCTGGAGAAAAAATTAGAACAGAAACTATCAACAAAAATAGCTAAGATCTGAGGACACTGTTGAACAGCTTGTCCAATAATAGGAAAACAGTTCTCTGGTTGGCAGAAAAGAAGAGAAATAAAGAGCACAAAACAAAAGTTGGAAGGGTGTAAGGGCAGGAGGCCTGTCCTAATGAGGGCTGGTACCAAGGGACAGGCAGACTGGCTTGGTAGGCTGAGACTTAAAAAGCTACTATCTGCTAAGCATTGTAATTACGGGGGTGGGGGGAAATTTTGAGGGAAGGGGAAAGAATGAACTTTGGGCAGTTTGTTTGAACTTTGAAAACAGCAACGGGGAGAACATGCTGTGAAACAGCTTTCTGTTGTGTCTAGAGTAGTGCACTTTCTAAGAAATGGACATGGGTAGGGTATGTATTGGTGGCACACACCTGTAGTCCCAGCCACTTGGAGGCTGAGGCGGGAGGATCGTTTGAGTCCAGGCACTTGAGCCTGTAATGCGCCACCATGCCTGTGACTAGCCACTGCACTCCAGTCTGGGTAGCACAGCAGGACCCTTGCTCTTAAAAAAGAGTTCTAGTGAAATGGATCAAGCAGACTGGGAAGTACAAAGCCTGTGGGGCTGCTGGGGCTGAGTCCTGACTAGCCTCGTCAGTGGTGATCCTTTTGGACTTGTACCAACACTTTCCAAAGTAGAAGCGGCATGAATTTATCCTGTGTGATGCTCGGTCTCAGGGTTGGGACTCTGTGATTGGCCTTTGTTGAACTGACAGGTATTTGCATGTGGCATCCTACATAGGACATTGCATTGGGTGTAAGCATAGCGCCAGTCCGGCTTCCTGCATCATTACCAAACGCTTTTCCTGGGGTCCATCATTCTGTCTATTGCTGCTTTCTCCTGTTACTCCAGCAGTTCAGTGAATGTAAGATTACTACTTTGTATGTGGAACTTTGAAAACAAGAATGAGAGGGCGGGTGTGGTGGCTCACACTTGTAGTCCAAGCACTTTGGGAGGCCGAGGAACGTGGATCACGAGATCAGTCTGGCCAACACAGTGAGATCCCATCTCTACTAAAAATACAGAAATTAGCTGGGCGTGGTGGCGGGCACCTGTAATCCCAGGTACTCGGGAGGCTGAGGCAGGAGAATCACTTGAACCCGGGAGGCGGAGGTTGTTGCAGTGAGCTGAGATCACGCTACTGGACTCCAGCCTGGGCAACAGAGCTAGACTCCATCTGAAGAAAGTAAGAACGAGGCACATTATACATGTAATCTCAGCACTTTGGGAGGCTGAGGTGGGAGGATTGCTTGAGGCCAGTTGTTTAAGACCAGCCTGGGCAACACCCCATCTGTACAAAAAAAAAAAATTTTTTTTTGTTACTTACCTGGGCTTGGTGGCACCTGTAGTTCTAGGGTGGCTATTTTAAAAGACAGATTTAAAAAGGAAACCTTGGGAAATGTATTGAAAGAAGGTGCTTTGTAGGATTATTGTACTTAAGACTTTAACAGTGTTAACTGGGATAGCTTCTATAAATTTTGAGAAAGTAGCAAGTTCAAAAGAACACTGGTAATTTTACTGTATGTCCAGTTTAAAGAGTGAATTAGATTACTAGAATTCAGCAATAGAGATATATCTATTTTCAATTCAACTACAGAAATATATTTTAATCATTCACATTAGGTCACTGTCACAGGATGAGACAGTTCTTCAAAAATTATGTTTTCCTGAGATCAGTTGCTTATAGATAATGTTCAATGACATCAAGACATGCATTTCTGAGAAATTATCACTTTTAAAAATTTGATCTCTACTGATTGTTTTCACTGATTCCAACATTATTATTTACAACACTGCCCTCTGGAAAATATTTTGTTCACAAGAAATAATAAAGTATAATGATTTGTTGCATCAAAAATAAAAAGGAGGCTGAGGTGGGAGGATCACTTGAGCCCAGGGAGCTATGATTACATCGCTGCCCTCCAGCCTGGGCAACAGAGACCCTGTCTCTCTTAAAAAAGAGAGCGAGCGAGCGTGTGCAGGTGTGCGCGCAGATCCCGTGCTGCCTCATATTTTCCTTCTTTAGACTTAGGAATTGTTTCATGTTTTCTGTACTGTGTTGTGCAGTACCAGAAGTTGCTGGTAACTTCTAGATCTTCTGGGACCTGCCATTGCAGAGGTGGTCATTGGATTCTTAATCTTGTTGAAATAGGATGGGTTTATGACTGGGATGGGGAGATCCACACCAGACACCCAATCATTTGGTTGTGAGAGAGGTACTCTGTTGGCTTTTCATAGTACTTAAACTGTGAGCTGCTTCCTGAACTGGCAGCTCCTAAGGCCAACTGCCCCATGACCGTCTTTAGTCTTCAGCTCTTACCCTGTGCACTCTGGTTCCTCTTGCTGTTTGTTTTAAAAGTTTATATCCTGGAAGATCACTAGGCTTTTTGCAGATGCCAGTAGAAGTCTGTGAGGAAGAAAAAACATGTTTGTTATGGATACTGAACTTTGAGCCACTGAGAGGGTAACCGGGGCCCAGAGAAGGGCCAGGCTGAATTCTGCCTTTAGGACACCAGCCCAGGAAGCATTTCCTACCATGTGCATCCATCTGCACCACATCTCCTGAATGCGTGGTCCATGATTTGGGAGCCCCCCGGTGATCCTAAACGCCCACGCATAGCTGTGACATTTATGGAGTGCTCTTGGACTTTGAGCGTGGGTTATCTTCCTGCCTTTACAGACAAGGACCTGAAGGGGAGAGCGCTTGCAGCTGCCTAAGGTGACAGTGCTACAGCCCAGACCAGAATTGTTCTTTAGGGCAGTAAGCTCCCCCAAGTGGTTTTTCCTTGACAGTAGGACTGTGCCTTACGTGTCTCTTCCCATTTGTAGATCACTGCCCCATATCCATATCCCCTCACCTAAAAATAGAATGGGAAAAACCTTGATGCTATGCGGGTATGCGGGTTACTGTCATTTACACGCCTGTACTTGATGCAAAGGAACTGTGCTCCACAATCCGGGAATAATCACTTTCAGGGATTTCCCAAATCTAATTAGATTGAAATGTAAAATATCCCTCTGTTCTAGCTATTGTTAACCCTGAGGCATGTGTGAAACTCTCAAGGAGCTTTAAGATACAGAAACACTGCCAGGCTCCCCCACCCAGTCCAGTCAGATTTGATTCTGGAGTTTGGACCTGGATGTGTGATGAGAACTGCTGAGTCCAGCTGAAGGTTAGGCTGGGCAGTCCTGTTTACCAGCCTCCAGAAATGCTATTCCCACCTTGTGCAGCCGGGCAGGCTCCCTACCCCAGGGCAGCGGTTAATGACCTAGACATCCTTGTGTATTTGAGATCCAGAAATGTCAGTACTGGCTAATAATGTGAATTCCACAGCCTATATCTTTCACACTTCCATTCCCTGCTTTTTAAGGTGAGATTCTAAGTACTGGGGACCCATGATCTGTCAGGAATTCCAAGTCTGAAATGTTTTTCCTCTCATTTTAGGGATGGGCGTGTTTTGGGCGTGCTAGAGGTGTCCCGCTCCATTGGGGATGGGCAGTACAAGCGCTGCGGTGTCACATCTGTGCCTGACATCAGACGCTGCCAGCTGACCCCCAATGACAGGTAAAGACCCCTACCAGAGGCACAGGTGCGCCTGCATGTGGCTGTATTTCTCTTCCTCATTTCTTCCAGTTTTCATCAAGCCTTTGTTGGAGGGAAGGTGTGCATGGTGCTAGGCCCTGTGGGTGTAGAGATAAACAGAATGTGGTTTCTGCCCTGCTGGGGTCCACAGTGGTAGGGGAGCACACATGGGGATGGGCAGTTGCAGTCTAGTGTGTACTAGGCGTGTGTGGTGCACTGGGGAACTTCGCAATGGGGGAAGGCGTATCCTTGTCGGAGAGGAGAGGGCCTTCCTGACAGAGGGAACACACACTAAGGCATTAAAATGTGACAGCATGAAAGCATGGCCAGACAGGTGCTTGGAGGACCGAGAGTGGTGGGAAAGTGAGAGCAGGGTGCTTTGGGGACAGATTCTGAAGGGCCCTCAGTCCCATGCTGGAGAGTCTGAATTCTAGTTGATATTAGTGGAGAATCAGAGGTGGTTTTTACGCAGAGCCAGGATCAGTTGAGAAGGAGACTGTTCACTTGTTCGTCTCCTGTTCTTCATACTTAAACATAAGGCACTGTGCTGGCGGAGGGCAAGGCCTCAACAGGTAATGGTTAAAGATGGTATTATGGAGCTAGGGAGGCCCATGAGCAGCAGTGCAGCAGCCCTGGCCTGATGGTGAGAGCTGAACTAAGGCAGTAGCAGGAGGGAGACGAGAGGAAAGCTCACAGAAGCAGGCTCCACGGCACTGAGCTGACGAGGGGAGGCGAGAGACGCTAGGGGCACTGTGGCGGGGAGGTCCTCCAAGCGCTGCTCCGAGTCCTGCCCCAGTGCTGCCTTGCTTTGGCACTCGCTGGCGTGGCCTCTTCTCGAGCCATCGCCCATTCTCTACATCTGCCTTCAGTGTGTTATGTTCTCATGTGCCCCAGGGGGTCCTCTATCATCTTGCCAGCAGCTGCCGCCTCTGGTTTTCTGAACGATGCCCCCAGGGCCCCATCTGCTTGGCACCCTCTGCTTTGCCTCCTAGCTCCCCCTCCTGGGTTGCAATTGTGGGTCTTTGTGATTGGTTATTCAGGGTCTGACTCTCAGGACACTAGAAGGGGCAGGAGCTTGCTAGGACTGTGTTCTTAGCAGGGACCACCTGCTCAGCAAATAGTGGTTGAATGAAAGCCTAGTCAAAAGAGGAAAACAGGCTGGGCACAGTGGCTCACGCCTCTTAATTCTGGATCACCTGAGATCAGGAGTTCGAGACCAGCCTGGCCAACATGGCAAAACCCTGTCTCTACTAAAAATACAAAAATTAGCTGGGCCTGATGATGGGCGCTTGTAATCCCAGCTACTCGGGAGGCTGAGGCAAGAGAATTGCTTCAACCCGGGAGGCAGAGGTTGCAGTGAGCTGAGATCATGCCATTGCACTCCAGCCTGGGCAACAAGAGTGAAATTCCATCTCAACAACAACAACAACAACAACAACAAGGAAAACAAAGATACAGGTATTAGAATGAGAAAAGGAAGGTGGCTTACACCATAAAGCTGTGGGGAAGCATATTCCCCACCCCCAATGCTGGGAGAACAAGAACTGTCGCATCAAATCCGTTGGTGTTCAGAAAGATTCCGGGGGCAGTCTAGAGAGGGGCTGATTCTGAAAGGGAGAGCATGCGGTTTCAAACACAGGAACACGAACAGCTGCCCCCTCTTGGACCTTGGACTTGCATGTAGCCCGCAGGTGCGCAGTGTGCATCCAAGGATGTTTCACCGAGGCCAGGCTAATTCTCAGCTTTATGTCTGGAAGTGGTGATATAAATTCTTGTATATTTACCATAACACCCAGTGTTTTTATTCAGTGATTTTTCCTTGAGTTTGTCTAAGAAAGTACAGCACCTAATGTTTGAAGTAATTAATAATTCTGTTAATTGGTGAAGAGAAGGGTAGTCTCAGTTTTGATATATAACATCCTATCCACAAATAGTTTTAAGTAGTTTAAACCTTTGTCACAGAAATTAAGTGGGTTTTCAAAAATCTTAGCCTGGCTGGGTGTGATGGCTCATGCTTGTAATCCCAGCACTTGGGAGATTGAGGCAGGTGGATCAGTTGAGGTCAGGAGTTCAAGACCAGCCTGGCCAACATGGTGAAACCCCATCTCTACTAAAAATACAAAAAATTAGCCAGGTGATGTGGCGGGCCCCTGTAATGCCAGGTACTGGGAAGGCTGAAGCAGGTGAATCACTTAAACCCGGGAGGCAGAGGTTGCAGTAAGCCAAGATCACACCGTTGCACTCCAGCCTGGGCAACAAGAGTGAAACTCCATCTCAAAAAAAAAAAAATCTTAGCCTTTGAATAGTTGGACAAATATTTATCTCCAGGCCATGCTTTTTTTTTTTTTTTGGCGGGGGGGTTGCACCTAAAACCATTTATATTCCTCCCTGGTGTTATAGGTTCATTTTGTTGGCTTGTGATGGGCTCTTCAAGGTCTTTACCCCAGAAGAAGCCGTGAACTTCATCTTGTCCTGTCTTGAGGTGAGGAATCTCACACGGGAGTGATGGTTGTTCCAAATGTGTCCTAGTTTTTGGAGAAGTAGAAGTCCTGAGACCCCATGTCCTCCCATTGTGGGGCAGCCCTTCTGCCCTTTTTCAGTGTGAACTCTGCCCACTGCACTGGTCAGTTTGTCCTGCCAGCACTGATGGGAGGCCAGAGCAGCTCCTCTTCTTGGCAGTAATGTTTCTGGAAAGTGGCAGAGTGCAGAGTCACCCCATTCACTCATTCCCTTTCTCATCTGGTAGGATGAGAAGATCCAGACCCGGGAAGGGAAGTCTGCGGTCGACGCCCGCTACGAAGCAGCCTGCAACAGGCTGGCCAACAAGGCGGTGCAGCGGGGCTCGGCTGACAATGTCACCGTGATGGTGGTACGGATAGGGCACTGAGGGGTGGCGCGCGGCCAGGAGCACCCATTGTATTGACTTAAAAGGTTCATTTTGTGTGTGTGTGCACATTGTGTGTTTTGTGTACTCCTGTGGGACTCCCATGGTTGTAAATAAAGGTTTCTGTTTTTTTTTTTTTTTTTTTCCTAGTCTTTTGAGTGATTATACTGTGAATACCACTTGACCCTTCAGAGATGGTGTTTGCTTTTGAATATGCTGCCTTTCCTTGTTAAAACCATTATAGGTGTCTTGGACTGGCTCGTGGTGACCTGCAAGCTGCTTGTTGTGTGAGGTTTTGTAATTCACAGGCATTTTGCTGTGCTTTCACCCTCACGGTGACCCTGGTGGCAGAAGTGGCATGTTGCAATGAAGAGAAGGTGGGGATGACTGGTTAGAGACAAGGCTGACCAGACCAGGGCTTTTGAAACCCTGTAGCTCTTTTCAGTTTTCCATACACAGATACTGTTGCAAAATGTTGCAGAGCATGAGCTCCAGCTTAGCCAGGAATAGACTGATACACAAGGTTATTTGTGCATCAGACCCTCTAGAAACAGTCCAGAATTCATGGTTCTGATTCTGTTGGTGAGAGCTGCAGTCTGGCAGAAGGAGTCTGTGGAGGACTAGGTTCAGTTTGGTGGCTTCCATCTGGGTCTCCAGGGTGCAGGTGTGCACCTTCCTGTGGGGGCATGCAGCCTGCTGCCCAGCATGGCTTGGGAATTCTACTTCCCTCCTGAGGTAGTGTGGGCAGTGGGCCCTGTGCTGGACTGAGGTTTGTCTTTGCAATAACACCTCAGAGGGAGACATTCTATGAAGGATGTTAAAAGCGTGAAGAGAGTGTATGAATAAGCAGCTCAGAAGAATAAGCTTTAAAATTCTTCTCGAGCACTTGTTTATATAGAAAACATGTCATTAGGACTGTAAGTAGTTTTTAGTAAAGCAGCTCTCAGATCCTTTTGTGTAAATGTTTGGCTCTGGATGATGTAAGATTCTAAAAATTTGCCTTTTCAGAATCTGTTTTGTAATGTTCCCTGGCCCCCACCCAACACACACATATGGTTTTATCACCCAGTTGATTCAGTGAGTGGAATTGGTATCCATGCTATAAGGACCTCATTGGTAAATGCTTCATGGAAACCTTAGGTGACTCCTGGGGATCTGTTGTGTCAAAGCCATAAGTAAAAACTGAAGTGTTGGTGCTGCCCCTTCCCCAGGGAGTTTTAAGATCCAAGTAAGTATCCATTTCAGTTTGAGGACTGGGACATTGTACGGTATGGCATCATTGAAGAAAAGAGCCCTGGCACCCCAGCAAACCAGGTATTTGCACAACGATGTCTGTGACTCCTCCATCCCCATGTCCCACTGTCCCCGAGAGGCTGGACACTGGCTTCGCAGGAAGGTTCACTCCCAGCCTTCAGGGGAGTCCCTCCCACCTAGAGACTGGAGGCTATCTCCACCTCACCTTCTGTGTTCCTCCTTGCTGTCCTTAGTGAACCTGGGTTAAAGGGTGGATTCTGGATCTTAAGGCCTGCCGTTTGTTTTGTAACGTCACAGAGTTCTTAAGTATTTGAGCCACCCCACAAAGCCAGTATTAGACAATAAATACTTTAATTGTTGCAAAACACACTGGGAAAATGAAAGATGTGGAATGTGGCTTTTTCAAGAGTAGAAGATACGTTCTCTAAAATAGCTGTGCCCAGTGGATACAAAGTGAAATCTAGATAAGGGTGTGGCCACATCACCCCCTTATCAAAGTGCAGGGGACGCAGTACCCAGGCAAGCCCAGTACTTCCAGGTAGGGTGGGTATGAGTCCTACTGAGAATTGCACCAGGCCTGCCCCAGGGCAGAGTGGTTGGTTTTTATATATTACTGTGCTTAGGGATGGAGATGCTTGATTCGGAGTTGGGGTTTGGAAGCTGGGCTCCTGGGGATCATTCTGGCCTGGCAGTGGTCCCCTCAGCAGAGGCCAGCTAGAAGGTGAAGGTGACTGGCCATTGCTCCCTTCTCTCCCAGGCCTGAGCACCCTGCCAGACTAGCTTGGCTCGCAGGAGGGTCTGAGGTACCAGGTCACTGGTAGCCTTTTGTGTGGGGAGGCGGCAGGTTAACCCTTCCTCAGCAGGTAAAAGGTCCTGCAGGTCGCTGCCTACACTGGGACAGTCCTGCTCTTTAGGGAAAATGTGGGAGGCTACATTTGAGGAGGCTGTGGGCTCACAGCCCGTGTCTCCTCATGAGAGCTGCCCTCCCCATACCCTATCACTGCCACAGGAGCACAGGCTTGGGACCAGCCCTCCCGAGACCACCCTTTCTCGAGACTGTCTCATCTACCACTTGTCCAGTCTCAGAGCCACATCACCACCCAAGTGGTAAAGATGCTTGGAAGGCTCATCCCAGAGCCGCTGGACCCGGCCAGGCCCTGGCATCCCTTCAGGAAGCCTCTGCTTCAGCTGTTCAGCTGATGGGTCAGCAAGCCCGGATGTCTCCAATCTATAAAGACATTCTAGATCTTTCCTCTGGTGGGTGGATCCTAGCAGTGAGTCAGTGCCTCAGAGGGGAGGGGAAAAGGGATCTCATCCGCCTCTGGAGAGGATAGAAGGGGGCCTTGGCTGTGAAAAGACTTGCAGAGGAGGGAAAGAGCGAAGCTCTCATTTGGAGAGGCCTTCTGAGGTAAATCTGTGAGTTAATCTTGCATACATTAGAACTGGGACCTGCTCCTGAAAGTTGGGTCCAGACTCACTGTCCCCCAGTGGACCCTGTCCAGTGTCCCCCTGGCCCAGGCTAAGCAGTGCTCAGCTCCACTGGCAGGTGGAGCATGGCTAGGGGAAGGGCAGGGAAGACCAAGGAGCCCAGATGGAGACCAGGGGGGTGGTGGGTGACCCTGTCCCTTCTGAGTAGTAACATGCAGCATGCTTCCCTGTGGCGCCCCCTCAGCCCTGCACCAGTGTACCCTCTTCCAGGCAGGGACCCTGGCCAGTGCGCTTGTCACTCTGTGAGAACACGAAGAGAGGTGGAATAGGTGGGGCTGGGCTGCAGGAAAGATGTAGAGGCCATCTGGGCAGGTGCTGAGCAGGCCGGGAAAGAGCCAGCCTGTAGCCGGGGACTAGCAGGTGCCCCAGGCACACCTGCCATTTCCTGGGTAACAGTTCAACAGGGCTTCCCCTTTTAAAAGATGGTTTTTCTGAATCACTCCCAGCGCTGGGACCACCTCCGCAGGCCTGCCTGCAGTGGCTCTGTGGGCTGAATTGCAGCGGCCAGTGTGGGGAGAGTTCCGGGTGGGCCTCCTGCACACGGCCACTGCCAGTTGACACTGTCCACACAGTCTAGGCCTCTGCTCCATTTGCCCGTGAGAGGAAAGGGCTGTGGTGGCCGTTCACACGCCCAGGAGGATAGCGCTGAAGTGGGAGCCGCTGCGCACTGTGAGGGAGGAGCCGCTGGCGTTGTCCAGGAAGACAGAGGCCCACTGCCCCATCTGCAAGGAGGGCGCCTTTAAGGCACTGGGCCACCCCAACAGCCTGCAGAGGCGACCCAGGTGCCAGCCAGCCACACTCCTGCCCACTCAGCCCTGAATGTGAGAAGGGTCCAGGCCAAGAGAAGCATGTGGCTGCCAAGGCCACAGCAGGGGCTCACGTGGCCTGGGCTCCACCCGGCACCTCTCACTCCTGCTTTCCCCACAGTGAGCCTGTACTCAGGGCCAGAATTGGATTCAAGAGTCCAACAGGTTTCTCAGCTGCAGGGCTTCTCAGAGCCTATAAGGCTCCAAGTCAGGTGGGAGAGTGGCCCTTCCCCAGGCCTGGCCCTGCGGTCATTTGGCAGAGCCTTCCATGAAACCAGCACTCTCGCCTGGTTGCTCAGATGTGGTCCATGCACCAGCAGTGTCACATCCCCTGCAAACTCCCGGAAATGCATCATCCAGGGATCCACCCAGACTGCCTCAGGATCTGCATCTTAAGATCCAGGTGGTAGCCGGGTGCAGCGGATCACAAGGTCAGGAGATAGAGACCATCCTGGCTAACGTGGTGAAACCTGTTTCTACTAAAAATATAAAAATTAGCTGGGCATGGTGGCACGTGCCTGTAGTCCCAGCTACTCAGGAGGCTGAGGCAGGAGAATCGCTTGAATCTGGGAGGCAGAGGTTACAGTGAGCTGAGATCGTGCCACTGTACTCCAGCCTGGGTAAAGAGACTATCCCCAAAAAAAAAAAAAAAAAAATCCAGGTGGTGCACAGACCATCTGTGTTCACCAAGCACGCTGTGCGGCACCCACATGGACCCCTGATGCTCTCCTGACAACCACAGACTCTGGAGCCGGATGGCCTGGCCTCCATTTCTGGCTCTGCTGTGTGAATTTGGGCAAACTAGGCAAGTAGCACTACCTTCCCCAAAACTCTGGGAGAATTCAAGAGCAGCTGTTAGTCTACACACCTGCACTCAATTTTTTTCTTCATTAATAAATTCTACCTTTATGTCAGTTTCTCTACCACTTGCCAAAATTCCCACAGTGCCAGAAAGACATGATCACTTAGGGTTTTAGTAGGAAAATAACATCTCTGGCTTCCCAGTCATGGGACCCAGGGCGTCAGCCTGGGCAGAGCGCTGTCCTCTATTCCTTCCCTCCACTGGTCCCTCAAACAGGCCTGTGGTGGCCGGAAGTACCAGGCCTCTATGAGGTGCTCGGGAAGTCTGAATATTGGGATGCAGAGCAGAGCAGCTGCTCAAGTGGGCGGCGCCCTCAGGGAAGGGCTGTTAGGAAGGAGATCAGGACTTGAAGCCTGGCTGTGCCCAGACCAAGGTGGGCACTTGGCATGTCCTGGACCCTGTCCCAGGCCTGAAGTCTGAGGGTGCTGCTCCTGGTGATCCTGAGCACCTAACAGCACCCTTCTGTACCCAGCCACCTATGGCCATGCACAGGTGGTGCCCCTCCATGCCCAAGCCCGCCTCACTTACCTGTAGGTACAGGACACCATTCACAGAGATGGTGAAGAGCTCACTGCTGCTCTCCAGGCCCATGACAGCCTCCAGGGAGCTGTGGCCAAAACAAAGAGGTTCAGCCTGCCCCAGAAGACACCACCAGCTTCACCCACAACACACAGTCCTGCCAGCAGCCAACACACGCCCAGCCAAGTGCCTGACCTTGGCCAGGCCTTC